TTTCCAAGTTGAGCCGTAACTTTTGATGTCGCTAAAATAATCCGACAACTGTTTTACGTCATCGTCCGAATTTATTGGGTATCAAAACCCAACAATAAGTATTGCAAAAAGTAGTCTCTTTGATTTTAGAGAGGTGGCAGGCAACCTGGTTAGTTAAATTCGAGACTCATTCAATTCCCTCAATTAATCTCATGAGAAGCAAGTCCAACCTTGCCAAGCCGTTGATAAATGCCGTGTCATGAAGCAAGCTTTCTCGAATATTGATTCAAATAATTGTAACCTTGAATTGGCTGCTGTGTTTTTTGTTTGTTTGAATTGATTGAATCTTGAACTAAATTAAGCCATACTTTATTATATACTCGCATATTCAACTTTTTTAATTTTTAACTTTGTACATGAGGACGGGGGTGGGGGTACAGGAAAAGAGGAAGTTGAAGTTGATTCCTTGCCTTTTCGTATCCCATCAATCAGAGTATAAAATGTCAACGTTTACTAAGTTCTAAGAGGTAGTCGGGAGTGAAGAGATTGTAATGAAAATTAAAATATTTTCATTTCTTGTCCATTTATAGTCGAAATTGTACAAATGTTGAAGTTGGAAGGGAATGATCTTCAAGAGATGGGGAAGTCGGGATGGGACAATCGAGATGAGGATTAAAATATCCTCATTTCCTATTTTTTCCGTCCATATCCACCAAAACATGGCAAAATAGTAACATAAATGCTCTCTTGTTCTTATTTTGCTCACTTGGCGAGAACTGTAAGGCTCTCCTACTATATTAACAAGTAGACAATCTTGTCATGTCCAGTGGACAAAAGAACAATTTCGAAATCAATAAATACTAAAAATACAGCATTAGAACTTGGAAATATTTTCTACAGTATAAAACGCACAAAATCGTGGGGCTCCGAGCGGGACCGAAAAACAAAAAGAGCGCGTTTCCCCCTCCGGGAAAACACACGTCGATTTCCCAATTCTGACCTCCCAAATGCTCAATAATTCCGAGACTCAGTGATTAAATCACAGTGTAACGTAATAGATTTTCGATCCTCTTAATTGTCTATTCTTCATCACCACACGAGAATTTCGATTCAATTTTCACCAGCATTGAGTAGTAAAGGATTTGTATTGGTGATTTTTTTTGTAGGTAAGGGTGAAATGGGGAATCCGAAGCTGAAGTGGACGTCGGAGGAAAAGGAAGCCATAGAGGAAGGAGTGGTGAAGTACGGCACCGGCCAGTGGAAGATCATTCTTAACGACCCCGAGTTCGCGCCACGCCTCGCTAACCGTTCAAACGTTCAGCTCAAGGTTTTCTCCTTTATACACTTCACGCGATCGATGATTAATTTTTTAAAACAATTTCTGCGTTTATTAGTTTATTCAAATTGTTCTGTATATCCTTGAACCTCTGTCTTTGAGATTTCCCGTTTTTGAAATTTATGACTCGTGTATTTATATGTATATGTATGTATACGTTGTTATGATTTATTAAATAATCCGTACACGAATCAGGAAAACTGAAAGTAAGAAAACACAAGATTTAAGGTGGTTTACTTTGAGCTATTAACACCCTCAAAATTGTTTTATATACAAGAAGAGGATTAAAAATGTGTTTTTTTAACTCACACCTCTTTGTTTTCTTGCTACTATTTCGCATAGAAGTAGGCTCGTCCTAATACTGGTTTATATAGGAGTAAAATATTAGAGCTACCTAATACAGGTCGAACAGTGATCGAGGAGAAAAGTGTTACAATATATTAGGCTCNNNAAAAGTGTTACAATATATTAGGCTCAACACATGCAACATGTTCTTGTGTATGTGTTTGCATATACATGTCTAAATTGGGGAATTGCAATTGACCAAAGTGCAAGTTTACCGTTTTGTTAGGTTTTCTTTATGAGCATATATGATCACATGCCCCCAGCCCCTCGCCAAACAAGTCAAGCAAATGCCCGTGATCATGTGTTATTGAAGTCACCAGTCAAGAAGTGAGAGAAGGTGATGTGGAAGGATGACATGCACTCAATGTAATAAAGGAGGTTCTAAGTACTTTATACTGAAGCAGGCCTTTCGTAACAAAGAGTACAGGAATAAGTACTGTCTGAGTCACTGAATCAAAACTCGTGCGTATATAGAATCACATTCTTACGCTTTGAATAGTGATAATGAATAGTAATAAATTTTTCCATGCACGCTTAGGTAATTAACATATATCTTCAATATTTTTTTCTAAAAGAGACTATATTTTCTTATTTTTGTGCACTTTTAGCTGAATTTGATTCTACAAATTTGAATTTTGAGCTGGCTATTGATATGGTATTTAGGTTAGTTGGTGAGGCAAAAGTGTGATCAAATTTTGAGTCTCGTGCGTTTTGTCCAGGAACATTTTATTATAATTGGCAGTTTAGAATTAAAAAAACTCTTCTGCTTTGAGAATTCAAGACTAAGCCCCTGTTTGGGGCACATTAAAATTTTCATTTTCATTTTTCTACTCATTTCAATTACACATTGTTCAATAAA